CGGACGCCGTTTCTTTCGCCGTTCCCTTTCCCATCTGTTCAAAACATTTCAAGCATTCTGTCACGGACATATCTATTTCGGGACTATCAAATGTATTCGAAACTAGGGACACCAAGTTGAAAAGAGATCTAATTTTCGAGAATTCGCGATCGCTTCAACGAGAATTGTCTAGCCTCTCGTCGAGAAAAGAGAACACGGTAGGGGATCCGACAATTAACAGAGTCTAATAGAATTACTCGGAAGATTATATTAGCGCATCGCTGATAATAATGTCAGTCCACACGAACGTGGTAATATCGCGTTACAGCGCTACCGTTGGATATTAGTAACATCATCAAATGTTAGTTCTGTTAAGCGACGTATATCAGTTGAGCGAATAATCATCCATTGTCTATAGATTTTTCGATTGGATGAGATACGATGTGCTACGCAGTCAGTCCGGCAATACCGGCGGTGCTCGCTTTCGACGCGAGTAAATCACGATTAATCGCAATTTCATGGACGTTCCGCGTAAGTCATGAAATTAATGTAACGATATAACTCGCGATTACGTATTACGTGGCCGCGTATCTCTCCACTTATTACCGTTGCACCGTTAGCCCCGCTAGTTCAATATGCTGGCAATACGCGGCTGTTCTCATGCTTTATCGCGTGGCTATAAACCGCCGATACACTAGGGAATAAGGAGTGCCAGCCCTCGATAGAAATATACTCGTTGCGATACTCGTACCTATATTGTTTCGCGCAGTATTACGCGTCTGCAATTAGGTTGTGCGGATCTTTCGCGTAACACAATATCGTGCTCTTCGACCCACACGAGCTGTCGCTCCCCCCAAAAACATGAGAAATATTCAACACGTTGGGAGAGTCCTCCTTCGTGACATCGACACTCGACTATGATCAATGGGGGTTGCCTCGAGAACCGATCTAGGTCACGAGCAATCGCTATGCGAACCGAAGGTATCTATAGCATTGTGCAAGCTGAACGATTCGGCTTTGGCCGCGATATTTTCGCCTTTTCCTTCGAACGTTGTCTTTTTTTCTTTTCGCTGGTCCACCGGTTTGTTTCCCTCGTGTGTTCGTTGGACACGAATGCTCGAACGTGGCAAAAAGCGAATGCGGAAAAGAGACGAGCCGCTGCCTGGCGCGTTTAAAAACAAACGTCTCATTATAAGGCGGCGCCGAAAAGAAAGACGGCATAGTAGCGATGAATAATTATCTAGCTGGAAGAAGCGAAATGGAAAAAGTAGCGAGTTCAAGAGCAACGGAAGTTAAATGGAAATATTATTCTACTTTGCCCGCGCGCGTTTTACTAACCATTCTTCTGCTGCTCTTTTTTAAAGACTCCTATTATTTTAGCTCTTTTCATCGTTTCGATAAATTGTTTTTAAATACTTAGCTTCGTCAGCGTAATTAGCCGCGACGAATTATAAATCTAATAACTGGTGTCTCTGCTTTTGTTTTAATATCTTAACGGAATGACCTATTTTTTAGGTTATGTCATTCTGCGATATAGCGAGTGTGAAACATTTATTGTGTTACAATATATATATATATATATATATATTGCATGTTATATTATATACATGTAATGTAATACGTAATGTAATAATGTATGGAAATAATTCGAATAAGTGAATTTAAGACGTACAATCACAGTATATCAAAAAATAATTTTTGAAATAAGAAATAGATTAACATTCTGCTCACCGAACGACGATGGATGTAGCAATCTTTGTATCCTTTCAGAAATAGCACTTTTGCCTCAGATTGACACTTTATATCTTCAATTGTTTCCACTTTCGATTCACTACTTGTTAAAACACGAACGAAGCGATGAATTATGGGAGAAATATATTCAAACGGTATGGAGATACATACAGATCCAACGCAGCAACTGTTTCAAAATTCATATACCCAAACAATTGAAAAAAAAATTATAGCAACTAGCAATTTAAAGCAAATAAGAACAGAAAATATCTTACACTTCATCAACACTTTCTTGATTGGAAAATATATTTTTTACGTACTATGAATTAGACGAATAAAAGTTTTCGTTTGATTTACAATAGTGACAATAGGTACGACTGTGATACCATCTATGTTTGCAAACTTAAAACACCTTAAAAAGATAGACGAGCTTTGTCGCGCCGGGCTTGTGAAAAGTGGTCGTGTAAGCGTCATTATACTTAATGTAGATGACATAAAACAAATTTATATTCCAAATGCATAGTTCCATCATTTCATATCCCCAACTATTTCTAGTTTCGATTCATTACTTGTCCAAACACGAATGAAATGATTGACTATGAGAGAAATATGTTCAAATGGTATGGATATACACTTGGGTCCAACGTAACAACTATTTTACAAGTTTAGATATTCCAAAGATTCATTAAAAAATCATATTTCTAGTAATTTAAGGAAAATAGGAACAAAAAATATCTCAAAATCCTCATCGACATCTTTTCAATTAAAAAATATATTTTTCGAGTATCGTAATTAGACGAATGAAAGCTTTCATTTGATTAGTCGGATATGACCACGGCGCCATCTGTGCTGGAAATTTGAACTATCTAAAAAGACAAATCTTTGTCGTGCCAGGCTTGTGAGAAACGATCGTACGAGCGTCATTTTATTTCATGTAAGTAACATAAAACAAATTTGCATTTAAAATGCACAGTTTCCATCACTTTATATCCTCAATTATTTCTAGTTTCGATTCATTACTTGTCCAAACACGAATGAAATGATTGACTATGAGAGAAATATATTCAAATGGTATATATATTCAAATGGAGATACATTGGGTCCAATTTTACAAATTTACATATTCCGAAGGTTCATTAAAAAATCATATTTCTAGTAATTTAAACCGGAACAAGAAATATCTCAGAACACTCATCGACATCTTCTTGGTTAGAAAATATATTTTTCGAGTTCCATAATTAGACGAATGAAAACTTCCATTTGATTAGCCGGGCACGACCGCGACGCCATCTACGCTGCAAATTTGAAACACTTAAAGAGATAGACTAGTTTCTCTCGTGCCGGGCTTGCGGAAAACGGTCGTACGAGCGTCGTTCTACTTCATGTAAGTAACATGAAACAAATTTACATTTACGGCAAAAACGCACAGTTCCATCACGGGACGTTGTAAACTTCCAACGGCGTGTCCGTATACGTTGTTAAACATTCATATTTTCTCGCACGCATGAAATATTCCGTGGAAAGTTTCCTTTGGCGTCCCGTGGCCCGCGTTATTTTTCGTTTCGCGACTCAAAACAATAGAAGAAGGAAATTGCCATGTTTGTTTGGCCTCGTTTGCTTTCTCTCGGTAGCACGCTCCGATACATCCGCGGAATACTAGTTAGAATAAGGACAGCGGAGCATTTGAGCCAGGTGACGTATCTTTTTGAACCGTTATTGCGTCTTAATAATTCGTGACACAGTAATGGCCGCCTAATTCGTGTTCACCGGTCATATATTCTTGCACTGGCGTTCACCGAGTACGAAGCGGCTCGTATCACGTCGTGCGTGCATTAAGCAAAGACATTTTTCATACTCTTGAACTCGTAGCCCGGCATCTGTCGACTACGGTTCGTTTCGAAATATCTTGGCCGTGCATCGGGCCAGAGATCAGCCAGTGAATAATGCGTCCGCGAAGTCGTAAAAACGGGGTCGGAAGTGGTGATCCTTACCGTAGTGGAAGTCGAAAGAGCGGAGCCGTGTTAAAAGGTTTGAATTCGATTTACGATTCGAAAAGTCCGTCTATCTTCCTGGCGCAGTGCACCAGGGTACGCACGGACAACTGCCACGAGAGAGGGGATATATGTATATGTATGTATATATGTATATATATATACATATATATATATGTACATACGAGATAGTACATTTTTTCATGGCTGTTTCCAGCGGCAGCGAACGTTTCGTAATTAATTACAGCGGAGCGCGCTCTTCTTTTATCGACTACCGTTTCACGAGTGGCTCGTAAAAATCTGCGAAGGTCCGTGCAGTTTTCCTGTCTCTTCCGTGCCTCGCTTTCCACTCTCCCTCGGCTTTCGTTTTTCCCCGCGTGTGGTCGCCGCTTTTAAAATTTTTTTCATTCTTTTTCTTCTCCTTTTTTCTTTATCAACTCGCAACGATGCACATAAGAAGTGAATGAATAATTTCGAACGTCGAGGTGGCCGGTTGCGAAGTTACTCGAATCGGAAATCTCGATCGCTTACCCTTAATACGTTCCGTGCTTTCGTTTTCAATCTGCGTACTTTTTTTTTTTTTTTTTTTTTTTTTTTTAATGGGGCTGCACGGACAGAAGTTACGTAAATATTTTATTTTCCCCGCGTGTTGTTGACTTTTCCCTTATGTTGGTGAAAAATGAAATTGCGTTACCACACGGATCTTTGCGTTACCGCTCGTATCAAACTAGCCCACCATTGTAATTCCGATTATTCGTTTATCTTGATTCGTGCCGCGCGATATCGAGTGATATGAAAAAAACATGAAAAAAGCCGCTTGCGAAGGACATCTCGATCGTTTATGTTTTTGTTTGTTTGCGTTTCAATAAACGCGATTTTTCGTGACTGAATTATTCCGCTATTACTACTATCTATAAATAATAAAAATGTTTTGCAAGAATGGAGTATTAAATTACAGTCGTAACCTACCATTGTTTTCCTCGCGACAATATTCTCTCTTTCCTGCCCCACTTTATTTTTCCAATTGTTTCGGTCGATTCGTTTGAATATCTTCGATTTCCTATAATCACGGTACACATCGACGTTCCATTATGTATGGTTTCTTAGAAACGCGATGGTGATAAGGATTTTCCACGCGATAGAAGCTTGATTCGCTCACCTTTTTTCGCTCCTTCATCCTGTAAAATGTATCTTCTCGTAAAAATAAAATTTAAAAAAAAAAAAAAAAAAAGAAAAAAGAAAGACGACACTTTATCTCTTCTTTATTGCTAACATCTGCCACGATATTTCTGCTTTCAGGATCCGACATCAAAGTACCGGTCGCAATACTGAACTGTCTTTACGCGCGTCAATTGTGCTTCGAGGATCCATCCTGCAGCGCCATTCTCGAGATTATACCGAGGGTCTGTGGTCCAGAACTGGGTGAGTGCCAAGTAAACTACTCTTTTAAATTTCTTCTTAACCGATGTTAGAGTAACGGGAGGAGGTAAACATTTTTACACGTCGGGAACAGGAACGAATTCGATTCGTTGTAGGGCTTTCGTTAGAGACGGAATCAATTTCCGAATCGGCTCGCCTCCGTTTCCCCTGATTTAAATAATTACAGACGAGGGGCGTACGATTGGATCAAGCGAGAGACGAAGGTGTCGCGAAGTCGAACGGTGTCGAGTAGTGGAAGGCAGCATTCCCTTAGCCAATGTAACGAGAAGTGAAAAAAAAGAAAAAAAAAATCGGGACAGACTAGGGATACGGTCGACGACCTCGTTCTTTTCGCACTTCTTCTTTCTCTTCCCTTTCGTACAATCGCGTTCTCTTTTTCTTCTTGCTCTCTCTCTCTCTCTCTTTCTCTCTCTTTTCAAATCTTTTCTTCTCTCTTATTGCATTCGTAGAAATTGCAATGGAAATCAGTTTGTACGCTGCGCCGTGTCGATCTCCTTATCTTATTGGGGAACTACGTATCAATAAACGTAGTGTACTATAGACGATGATATTCTTTTGACTTTATTTTATTTTAGAAAAGGTCACACGACTAATTTGATATTTTGGACACGGTTACGTGATTGACTGCGTGATTGATTCGGTCAAAGCATTTCTGTATCGGCACGTTCATTTATAAATCCGTTGTACCGGATTAATTTCTTAAAAGTCAGCATCCCAATTTCATTATACATAGCTGGAGATGGATCAATCATGCGTCTGTGGACGTCTTGTTTATCGAGAACCAATAGCTATATCCGTGGAATCAGCGCAATCTGAATAAAATCTCGACTGAGAGCTACAGGAAATCCAATACAAATAATTAGAACATTACTGGCATCGTTTCATATTCATGGCACGTTGTCAGAGCGATGCCGTTCCGATTCCGTTTCTCGCCGCAATCTTTCTTCCCGAATAAAACGCTCAGTCGTGTCGCGTGAATAATTAAATCCAAACCGTGGCGCTACCAGATTAAATCTCGAACTTTTTGAATATTACGTATCCTCTAATCAGGTGTTCTTCTTTTTCCTTCCACCACCGCCCTCCACGTCCCTTTTTCCCCGTGCTCGTATTTTTACACGTCGCGCGAGTTATAACTCGGGCAACTGCATTACGAAGTTTACGCGCCGGGGGAATTACGTTTAAATTTAATGAACGATCCCGAAAATCGGGGCAAATACAGGCGTAACGTCGCTCGGAAATTAAAACAAACAGACGGATGGCTCGTCTGCATAATAATGGAATTAGATGCGTTTTACTTTAACGAAAGTAAAAGGCAGACAAGGCCGTTAAAACGTGCTCTTTCATACGCGTCTCGGGAAAATGGGATTAATTCGTATTTAATTTACCGAGTAAACGAGGCTGGAAGCGTGATATCGTCGGTGGTACACGTGCGACCGCGAGCATTAACAGGGAAACGCTTTGCAAAGGGAAGTAGATTAACATGCGGAACCCCTCCTGTGAATTACGTGTAATTGAAAAAAAACACTGTGTCACGATTGGATCGCGTTTCGAGTCGCCGGATCTTTGTTTCTCCAACAGAGGACCCCTATATTTTTGCGTGGCGAGTGTACGAAGTCTCGCGGTAATTTTTGAAAATTTGTCAGCGTATTCACGATTGGTGCGAAAATTTCGTTACGTTTCGCAATTACAAACGGGATAGCCTTTCGTCTCCCGAAACGGCAATCGTCGTCGTAAACAAAAAAGTTTGAAGTACACGGTGGAAAAAAATAAAAATCGCCGGTGGCCAAAGCGGGAGAGCAGCGGTGGCAACAGCAGTAGCAGCAGTTGCCGAGCGAAACCGGTTTATTTCCCGAATGACTGCTTCGGCGAATTAATTAACGCGTTTTCTCGCGATTCGGGGCAAACGCTTGGAAAAGTCCAGTTGGTCGGAAAGGTTTCAACCCCCGAAATTAACAATTCGCGATTCGGCTGACGCATCGACTTTTGGAAAGAAAAAAAAAAAAAAGACTTTTGAAAGCTATCGAGTGTCGAGCCACGATTTTCACTACGTTCCCACACCGGCGGCGAAGTCTCTCTTCCATCGTCGAGAGATAATAATCTCCGATGGAATCCGTGTGCACGCATAAGTCCACGTAACACACGCGCTCGAAATATAATTGGCGAAAGTGTCTTTTCAAGCATGAAACGTTCATTGCGTTTCGCTTCGGAGATCACAAACGAACGCTGGTCGATTAAATTTTAATTTACTTCCTCACCTGGGGAATGGATTATTGCGCATCGAATCGGAATCCGCAAGTTCGACAACGAAAACCGATTGACCGCGCTTTACGTCGATTATGCTAGCAGCAGAAATAAGTAGTACGAGTAGATGAATCGAGCGGCTACTAACAGTGTTCTGTCACATCGATTCAGATCGACAATCATCAGAGCGAATCTGAGGTAGTACGACGGTCGCGTAACTTCGATATTTCATGGCGGAGAGATTCAACAGATAAGAAGGAAGTAGAGACCAGGTATCGCTCTTCGGTGATCGTGTAAATTCTTCGGCATAGAAATTCCGGGTCTCTGATAATTTTCTGAATACCTCTGGGAAATTCGGGCGAAAGGGCATCGACGTGCATTTTACGTTTTAGAAACTCTCCCTTATCCGCTTTTACCGCGTATTTATTTCGACTATTTTTACGGCCAGTCTCGTCGTCTTCTTGTTATCCAATTGCTCTCTGCGCGTGGACGCGGCTCCGCTTGGCGTAATTAGAAGGTTTTTATTTATACGCGCGGCACCGATTCCCACGGTGTTCGAGGTTATCGTAAATTACGCTAAAATTACAATTCGCCGATCGCAATATTCCAGCATTTACACTATTCTCGCGTTCGTTGGCTCGCCGATGGACATTCATCGAGCTCATAATCATCCGTCCATAAACAGTGCGACCCCCGGTATACGAATCGAGATATCGATCCGCGAGGCTTCCTGTTCACAGTCGCTGCGAGTCCGAATTTCAGCTGCGGAACGCACAGGGATAGGTCAACCGGAAGTTGTCGATACACTCGACGCATTTCCGACCGCGCTACTGTTGTCTCTTAGACGGTACTGCGCATCGCAATTTCGCCGGCGTAATTACGCTCGTAAAAAAAGTGTTTCGCCGTGGTCGAAGAAGCCGGCGTTGTCTTGAAAATCTCTGTCGTAAAATTCACTGAAGTTTCTTGTTATTTCCATTTCGTGATATAACGTAACCTCCACTCGTTCGAAGTCAAAATATCCACGCGTCACAAACTTACGTAGCTAATAATCGTATACTCGAATACTCTGTACTCGTACTGTATAGCAAGAAATTTTTATGAGTGAAAAAGAAGAATTAATAAGATGAAATAAAATAATCATAATAATGAGATAATATTCTTGTTCAATGATAATAAGAAGTTATATTCTTATACGAAACGATAATAATAATAGAAAAATTTATAGAGGAAAACGTAAAATCGAGCGAGGGAACCGATTTGTCGAATATTTGGAAGTCAGCGGATAAGAACCGCGGTGCAGAAAGCATCGATATGAACGGTTTTCCAGATCGTTAACATTCCCCGAACAACTGCACGGGAGCTGCCATAATCTTATCCGCAACCCTTATTTCGCGCTCTAGTACCCCATACGATGAATATTGTCCGCCATAGCGGACCTCCATTTCGTGTTAGCCTTATCGATGAAAATGATCGCTGCGTTCGAGGAAAATCTTCCGAGATAGCAGGCTGTTATTTCGCACACTGGCTTTCAGCGTTGATCTTCCACTTCAAGACCTTATCTATCCATTCCACCGACAAACTCGCTTCCAATTGAATGTTTATTCAATATCGCTCGCGTAATTGTGATTGAACGATCGTTTAATTGCGCAACTTGAACGGCTCGGCTCGTTCCCTTTGTGCACGACTCGCTCCCGTACGCTCCCGCTCTATTTTAATTTACGTAATCGATTTGCTGTTGCGCCGAACCTGATTAATAAACGCTTTTACTTTATTCGAAAACAACAACGATTCGTTACCGATTTTCACGGCGCGCGGCAACAATTCCCCGCCCCAATGGAATGCTTAAATTCAATATTTCTCTGTCACGTATCGCGGAATCATCGTTCCATTTTGCCTTCGCACGCCTGCGAAATTCAAAGAATGCCCATCGTTTCATCCGGCGTGTCTTGTCTCCTCCGCTTTATCCGCTGAGCGCAATTTTCAACTGAAAATTTCACAGCAAATGGCCGATGCGCGAGCGAGTTAACGAGGCAACGTTTATTTCACTTTCTCCCCTTTTGCCTACAAATGTACAAGTCAGAGTCGAGTCACCAGTGAAAAGTCCCATCAGTCAAAAGTCACCGGACCGAGGTCCAACAACGCGTTGCGCTTTGTCGTCGCGTTAGAAAGTGACGAATCAACAGTGGGTTGGACATACAGGTATTTGCTGTCGGGCAAGAAAGATTCAGGTTCCATTTTCCCGTTCGAATTTCGTGCTTTCGTACGTATCCCCGAGCTTCCCGAGGATTGTGCGCTTGACAGCCGGCCCGTTAGAGTGGCTTGTCCAGAGAAATCGGTCGATAGAGGATGCGTGTGGGTAGGGGATTGCCAGTCGATTCGGGATTTCGTGACTTCTCGAAATGGCTGGCTCGTGTGTACGAATACTTGCGAACCGACTGCTGAACCTTATATACGGGCTCGAGGACTCTTTTTCGAGCTATCTATTCGCAGCTATACGCCGTGTCATACTCCGTGTATAGGCTCCGATCTTCGGCAAGGGTTGCTCTTCCAGAGATGAAGGCGAAGACGGAAGCGTTTCAAGTATGCAAGTATCCGAAGTAATAACGTGTCGGCCAGGGGATATGGGAAGACTTCCTTATTAAAAGGAGGCACTTTGCGGTCGTGCTACTTACGTTCATAAATAACGAGCACTCCCCTCTATATTTTACCCCCCGTGTTCTCTTTTTTCCTCTGTAATCTTTCGATTACGTCGCGTTCTGTATTCGAGGAGATGTACTTATCGGGAAGCAACTCTCTTC